CTCTCAGATGTTCCTGCCCAGGCTGGCTTTGAACTGCAATCCTCAGATCTCAACCTCCTGATTAGCCAGGATTACAGGCATGAGCCACCGGCATCTGTCTTCATTTTCTTTTGAGCAACTGTAAGTGGTGTTTTTTACATTTCAGTTTCAATATGCCTGTTTTAAATTTTTTTTAATTATTATTGTAAAGGTGATGTACAGAGGAGTTGCAGTTATGTAAGTCAGGTAATGAGTACATTGCTTTTTGAAGTGTCATCTCTTCCCTTATTTTCTCCTAATTGTTCCCTCCCGACCCTATTCCCCCACAATTTATATAGTTCATTTTCAAAATTATGTCTAGTGAGTAGACAATGCTTTTGTCTACTGCTGCATTTGTTCACCCTTTGTCCCACCATTTTTATGTTCTTCCCTACCCTCCCCAAATCACATAAACTTACAAGACAAAAGGTACAGAAATCAAAAACAGTGACAAAGGAGAAAAAAAAGCAACATAACAAAAGTTGTTTCTATTTCTTAGAGTCCATTTTGAAAGACATTTTTTATATATACAGATCATATGCACATAGCTATTGAACCTTTATGCGCCTCTCCCAAGAATATCCTCCTTTGGTCTCACTGTGTGAATGTTAGGGTCCTATGTAATTTATCATGTCCAAGTATAAATTTTGTCTTTTACCATCCAGTGTGTTTACTTGTAGATTTATAGGCACATTCTAGTTATAACAAACGAGGGAAAACATGCAATTTATGTTTCTTTCAGTTTGGTTTACTTGGCTTAATTATTTTTTTCCAAGTCTTTTCATTTCCTTATGAATGGTACAAATATCATTCTGATGGAAGCATACAGAAATTCAATTAATTTCTCTATGTGAGCTTATATTCTACATCTTCCTGACTCTGTTTATATATTCTTTGGGATATTCCACATTAACCATCAAGCATAAAAATAGAAATAACTTTGCTTGTTCTTTTCTAATTTTTATGCCTACAAGCTTTTATCAATGGTCTCAAAGCTGATGCTCTGTTCAGCTCCTTTTGAATGGTCTTCTTTTACTTTAAAATATTATTAGATTCTTTTTAAGACCATAAAAGAGCTAAAAATAGCTGTCCGGTGAATAATTTAGTTAGGTAAAGATATCAATGTTATTAATCAGAGTATTTGCTTTTCTGACAATGACAGTTTCAATTTTAGCAAATGAGCAGTTTAAAATTTAAGTCACAAAGTGAAATATGTGGCTGACATAAACCTTGCTGTTTAAACTGACCAGCTGGACAGTTATAAAACAAGCACTATGAAGATACAGTTATGCAGGTTTATATTTTCTGATAGCCTCCAGTTCCAGACTACATCTGTTTTCTTTGATACACAAAACCAGAGTTAAAATAGCTCTATTTATCACAGCATGATTGTAGGCAGACAAACCAGTCTGTCTGTTTCCAGATAGTGAAAGCAACTGTCATTAATCACAATTACAGGCCAACTCCTCCAAGAAAAATTGCATCAATATTCTTGCAACCCCCAGCTCTTCCACTCTGCAACTCAAAAGCTGAGTGGCATGACATTGCCTGAAGGTCAGTAAATAAAGATGTTACTATGAAGTTAGCTTAGTTTTCAGCCTAGAGTTCAAAATAAAAAATAACCGTTTGTGCACATAAAGTAAGTGTTCTCTCAAAACTCTAGTGTGAGTTTAGTAGAACAATTAAACATTATTATTTAAAATTTATACTAAAAAGATTTTTGCTTTGTGAAACTATACTAAATAGCAATGGGCATTTGAAATTCACAAGCTAATAAGTAACTTTAAAGAGAAAAACTTAAAAGAGACATTTTTCTAGAGCAATCTAATGGATAGATCATTCCTAAATAAACTATAATCTTTTCTTCATTGTTATTACAAAAAATATAAACAAGAACGCCACTTGGTGTTGGTACTACTGATACAAAATATACTACATTGTTATAATCAGGGCAGTGTTAATAGGGACTGAACTCAGGATAAGCAGTCTACCACTTAAATCATATTCCTAGTCTTTTTGCTTTTAGTTTTTTAGCTTGAGTCTCAGCTTTTGCCTGGGCCAGTCTCAGACTGCAATCTTCCTATCTACTTCCTGAGTAGCTGGGATTATAGGACTGTACCTCTACACCCAGCTTGTTTCTCAGTTAGGGTCTTGCTAACTTTCTGCCATGGCTAGCCTCAAACCAGGATTTGCCACCTGAGAAAGGGGGATTATAGGAATGTACCATTATTGCCAGACTAATATACCATTTTTATGCATGTTTACATTATCACTATTACTATTCCTGTTTTCCAGTTGAGGCAGCTCAGAACAATTACTGTTTAACATTACACAGTTAAGTACCAGCAGTCCAATATAGATTTGATCCCAAATCTGTATTTTTTCTATTTATCAGCCCCTCAAACTTATATTTATTTTAAAACAAAGTTTGAATGAAACCTTTTATTTCCAAGACCTTCACCTATGAAAGAACACTGAAATGACCAAAGGAATGAAACTGCAGAGAAAGAAATGTACATTATTTTACTCTATTCTACTGAATAAGCTGACTCTCACTCTTTCCAGAAATATTATTAAGTAAACTAACCTTAATATATTAAATATGATCCCATATTCAATCAAAGCTGGGTAACATGCTTGAAGGTAATTAGTAATAAGAGTACAACTGTCATTCTAATGTGAAACAGAGCTGTCAGAAATTCTTTTAAATACTTGGACATGCACTCATGTAGCATTTTCACATACATTTACTACACACAACTGTGTACAGCAGCCAAACACTGCTCTAGGGACTGGGGAATACAGCAGTGAACTTTAACAAATTCTACACAAGAGGACATACACGGAAGACACCTCTAAAAAGGTTATGTTTTGAACTGGAGACTCAAATGATGTGAGGCATGCAAAACTTAAGGGAAAAAAATAAGAGAAAGAATATTAGAAAAAGAGGGAAGAGAACTGGAGGTCAGGTTCAACAGGTAAGAGTGCCAGCATGATAGAAAAAGCTGAGGGAGAATGCAAGGCCTTGCATTTAAGTCCCAGGATCAGCATAAAAGAAGAGATGAGAGAAGGGAAGGGGAAAGGAAGGGAGGGAAGAGAAAATGAAAAAAGAGAAAAGGAGAGAAAGAAAAGAAAAAAGGAGGGAACTAATTACCATAAGCCTTGAAGGAGAAAAGGAATTGGTATGTCTGAGGAACAGCAGGAAGGCTAATTCTGGCCTTGGGAGAGGAAGACAGGCAGGGAGAGGTAGCTGAGGAGAGGGAGGAGATGAAAGGAGAGGGGAAGGGAGGGAGAATAACCACCATTTATATCTGGTAAGGAATCTAGATTTTTTTCTGAATGTGAGAAGAAGCCCGATTTTTAATTTTTTTTTATTGTGATTGATTACATAAATTTCAAAAATTTCATAGTATTGTAAGATAGTGATACTTAAAGTCACAAACACATTCTATAACCTTCATGAGGCAAATTGTCATTAGCCCTGATTTAAACAACAACAAAAAAAAGGTACTCTGGCAGCAGAGCTCTGAGAGCAGGGAACAAAGTAGAGACAGATTAGTTAGGAGGCTATTGCACTAGCCCCAGCAGGAGAAGAGGCAGTATCCATAGAAAAGAAAATCACTTAAATTGTAACACTGAAATAATCACTAAGGAAGTAAGGAATACAGAAGAATAAAAGGATAAGGGCTAAGCCCCCCAAAAATCCAATTTTCAGCAGTTTGGAAAGGGGAAAACATTTTCATTGAATCAGCATATCTGAAATGTATTCTTTATTTAGGCATACCTAATTCCTTTTCCTAAGCATTAGTGAAAGCAGGTAAGTAATTTTGAGTATGTTTCTAACAAGTCCTATTTTTGATAACACAGAAAATAAGAAACATGAGAAATGGTTAAAATGAAGGATTTATGGTTAAATATAGCAGAGCTTCTCTGATAAGAAAATAATTTCTAAAAACTAAACCACTTAGCTAGATGCTGGTGGCTCACACCTGTAATTCTAGCTACTCACGAGGCTGAGATCTGAGAATCAGGGTTCAAAGCAAGCCCAGGCAGGAAAGTCCATGAGATTCTTACTCTAATAAACTACTCAAGAAAAGCCAGAAGTGGTGCTATGGCTTAAGTGGTGGAGGGCTAGCCTTGAGCAAAAGAAGCTCAGGGATAGTGCCTCAGCCCAGAGTTCAAACCCTAGGACTGGCAAAAATAAAAACAAACTACATCCCCATACTTGAAGTTCTTAACAAATAAAGAGCTCTAAATCTAGGAACTAAAAATGCATAGAAATCATACAGGATATATTACTCTTAACAGCTGACTTCTATTATTACCAGATATAACTGATATATTATTACAATTATAAAAGCAGTCAGAAAGTAAAACAAGAATAAATTAAAATTTGGGGACTGGGAAATAGGCCAAATGATAGAAAATTTGTCTAGAAAGCTTGAGTCTTCAGTTTAATTCCCAGTACTGGGAAAAAAAAACCTAAAACAAAAATCACCAACAAGTAATTAACATAATATTGTGTTTTGTGATATCCTGTCTTGATTAGTTTGTTAAGTTTGGGTTAGCAGAACAAAAACATTTAATAAATGTATAGCTGATATCCAGCTATACTTCAATAGTCTAAAAAACATTCTCATCCAGTTTTTGTTGTTTCTTTCCTCCACTTCCTTAAAAAAACCTTTTGGCTGTAATGGTCAAACAACCTCTTTATAAGCTGGGCTATTTCTTGCTATTGTGAGGTTCCTAAGAACTCAGAAATCTGGCTAGGTTCCCTATTTTGGCTGGCTTGTCAAACTAAGCTTCTACAGGTGTATACTAATCTTTGTATTTTAGTCATAGCTATTCAAACACATGAAAAAGCTTAAGACATTTTGGTCCTCTCAATGACTCACATTGTAATTCTCCCCAGCATTTTATCAAATCAAAGATGGTTTGAAGTAGGAATATTAGAAATCCTACTCCCCCCCAAAAAAGAGTACCTCCATGGTGATGTGACAGGCTCCCTCCATTCGCAAGGATTTCTTCTCTAGCAGCTGCCTGGATTTGGAAACAACAGAGTGTAGCCACTTAGATTTCACTTGGGAGAGAAACAGTAAGACCTAACTCTCAAATGAGGTGCATACTTACTAGGTTAAACAATAATCAAGCAGCCTCACTTCCCTCCCACTTTGTAAAAAAAAATTAAAGCAATTAAAATATGAAGCCTAGTTTTGTATTTTTTTCCCCTAGTAAACAGTCACAGTATCTACAAAGACCACTTTGAGATTCGAGGGACGGGGGAAAAAGGCAAAATAATTAACTCAGCAGGTCTAAACTGTTAAATAGTAATAAGGAAAAAGTATGGAGTTTTATGTTTAATATATAAGTCATATCAAGAGGCATTAATAACCAACATGGACTATTTCCTGTTTGTCTCAGAAAACATCAAGAAATTTGCCCATACTATTTCATTTATTTTCATGATAACTTCATGGAATAATTATAATTACTCCATCTCACAGGAACTATTATTATATTAGAGGCATGACAGTTAAGATTACGCACAAAATATTAGGGATCAACCAGAAAAATCTTTATGGAGCTGGGTGCTGGTTGTTGACATCTGTAATTCTAGCTACACACAGGAGGCCTAGATCAGGAAGAAACAGTTCTTGATCAGTCCAGGTGGAAAAGTCCATGAGACTCCATTTGAATGGAAAAAGCAGGTGGCAATCCAGCTATGGTAGTAAGCAAAAAACAGGAGGATGTTGGTCTAGGAAGAAAATGAGATCCTATCTAAAAAATAACCAGTACATAAAAAGTGGTAGAGGAGCTGGAAAGATGGCTCAGTGATAGAGTGCTTGCCTTGCATGCATGAGGCCCTGGATTCAATTCCTCAGCACCATATAAGCAGAAAAAGCCAGAAGTGGTGCTGTGGCTCAAATGGTAGGGCGCTAGTCCTGAGCTGAAGAGCTGAGGGATAGTGCCCAGGCCCAGAGTTCAGGCCCCACGACTGACCAAAAAAAAAAAAAAAGTGGTAGAACAACTGGTTAGCAAGTGTGAGGCCCTGAGTTCAAATCTCATCTTTACAGAGAACATTATTTGGCCAAGGATATTGACAAATTACTTGGCAGTTCTGTAATAATCAAATATGTGTATGTGTTAATTCTTTAAATATGTTAGGTAAAAAATAGGCCAGACACTTGTGGCTGATGCTTTTACTCCTAGCTACTTCAGGGGAGAGACTGGTAAGACAGTGGTTGGAGGCTAGCCTGGGAAAGTTCAAGAGACCTCAGCTCAACCAACACTGGGCACAGTGGTAGACACCTGTCATTCTAACTATGTAAGAGGCTGACAGTGGTAGACACTTGTCATTCCAGCTATATAAGAGGCTGACAGTGGTAGACACCTGTCATTCTAACTATACAAGAGGCTGACAGGTGACAGTGGTAGACACCTGTCATTCTGGCTGACAGTGGTAGACACCTGTCATTCTAACTAAACAAGAGGCTGACAGTGGTAGACACCTGTCATTTCAGCTATACATGAGGCTGAGAGTAGGAAGATCATGCTTCCAGGCCACTCTAGGAATAAAGTAAAGTTCAAGAGACCCCTCATCTTCATAGAAAAGGTTGGGCATAGTTGCTTGTACCTGTCACCCCAGCTACAGTAGGAAGCATACATAGGAGAACTATGGTCCAGGACAGCTTGAGCAAAAAGTGAGATTATCTCAAAAATAATCAGAACAAAGAGGGCTGAAGAGATAGCTCAAGAAGCAGGGTACCTACTTGGCAAGCACAAAGTTTTAGGTTCAAATTCCAACACAGGACAGGACAGGAAAGGAAAGGAAAGAGGGAAAAGAGAAAAGGGAAAAGGGAAAAGGGAAGGGGAGGAGAGGGGAGGGGAGGGGGAAGGGGGAGGGGGAAGGGGAAGGGGAAGAGGAAGGGGGAAGGGGGAAGGGGAACGGAAGGGAAGGGAGAAAGGGAGGAGAGAAAAGGAGAAAGGAAGAGGAGAGAAAGGGAGAGGAAAGAAGGAATGGAAGGAAGGAAGGAAGGAAGGAAGGAAGGAAGGAAGGAAGGAAGGAAGGGAAAAAAGAAAGAAAAATAGAGAGAAAGAGAGAGAGAGGGAAGGAAGGAGGAAAGAAAGAAGAAATAGAGAGAGAAAAGAACCACATACATTTTTAACAAAATAATAGAGATGCAGAGTAAGAAAGAATAATAGAAACTGGGCTCATCTCCTAATCTTAATGATTCATGAGTACACAATAATCATGAGGTGAAATGCCTACTGTGACTTGAATTTCTCAGAATTACTTAAGTGCATTTAAACTATCAGGAGGTAGGTCAAGGTAGAAATGGCCTGAAGTAGGAAAGTGGGATCATATCCCATTACAAAGTTATTATAGACCCTGAAATAGAGTTAAGAGTTTTCCAAATGCTAGCCTTTATTCTAAGAATTTACTGTTTCAAACAAATTCCTGCAAATAAAGTAGCTTCTTAAGATCAGTACCACAAAGCAAATGGCATTTTGGACCAGGAAAAAGAACCAATGTCACTTGGGGTCACTGCACAAAAGGGATTTTTGATAACCAGGCTAAAGGATGAGAATGCACTGAAACGAGAGTTATGGATACATTCAGTATTTTGATTTTAGTATGATTTCATGGATACAAACATGTAAAAACTCATCAGGTTGTATACTTTAAGTATATATCACTTAAATACATTTCAGCTAAATGTCAAAAAAAGCTGGGAAAAAATAAAGGGAGGAGGTGGGAAAACAACCGAGGACTGAGAGAACCAATCTATCCATGACAGTCTGGATCTAGAAGTATGTTGTGACATTGGAATTATTTTTTAGTAGTATCTTTGGCAAGCACAAACTTAAAACATTAGGACAATTAAAAAAAAGAAAGAAAGAAAGCTGTTTGCTACACATCTCTCCATAGTTGAATAGAGAGCTTTATAATTACCTATGAGAGATATACTGGTCATCAACAGCTATATAAAAATTAGCATCTTAAAGTCATTTAAGAAATGCAACAAAACCTGCTAGCAAATGAGACCCCATGGCTTACATAAGCATTAGCATACAAAAACACTGAAAATGTAGAATGATGACATTACAGCATAGACCAAAAGGACAAGAGCTGCTGACCTCAACCTGCAGTCATTTACTGGAGATAGGTCAATAGCCAGTCATATCAGATCCCTATAGTCATAGAATTCCTACTGTTATTTAATTTAATATCATGCATTGTAGCACCCAGAAAATCACAAGCTACTGGTCTCAATTCTCTATATCATATAGTACATTTGTTTTCTGTGGCAAACAGGCCGGGTAGAACACAGGTAGTTTTAAAAAAACAAGCAAATTCATAGATACTAGAATTAGTTGAGTGAAACTATATGCACAATTACCTCCGTTTGTTCAAACACCGTCAGTGGGTCACTAATTCCTCTGTAGTTAAAGGCAAAATAGAAGTAGATACATGCACCTGCATCATATGTCTGTGTTACCCTAAAAAACAGACAAAATGTCCACAAGGACTTTTAAGTGAAAACAGATTTAAAATCCTCAAACTAAAACACAAGATTCCTGAATTCACTTAAATATAAACTCCTCTATTCAACTTCCAATTCCAAAGAAGGGAAGCAGATTGGCTCTCTTTACCACTGTTGGCAGGACAAGTGAACTAAGACTACTGCAAAAAACAAAGTATTTTATCATTAAGTGAGTTTAGTCAATACTATTAGTACACACTAAGACTTCTATTAGCACTATATTACTACAATTTCTACTAGGAAATATAACAAAAATTTTAGCATCCTTATAGAATGCCTTTCAGCAATCATGTTATCTGGAAGTAATAGGCAAATAAGTAGCAAATCTGAAAACACTTAAAATACAGTCAGACAAGTACTGGTATAAAATGTATAATCAAAACAAGTAACAGTTAACAAAAACATTCTTAAAAGTTAACATATCTTGACAAAAAAGAAACAATGTCACTTTTTCCTCTTTACTGTATTTAACTAATTTTATGCCCAACTAGTTGCTCATGTATTTTGTGTAGAATTAAGTTGCAGATATATTTCAAATGGCAAAGCTCCATTATTTTTCAAAAGCATGTTTAGAAAATGAAAGACCCCACTGAATAAAATAAAGACAAAGCAATAACAACTTCATCAATTTAAACCAGCCTGGATTATGAAGGACTATATAGATAGAAAATGCTAAAGTAATTAAATCATGAGTGATTTTATAAATATTAAGAAAATCTGGGGTCAGGATGGGAAAGGGGTGTGTGTGTGTGTGTGTGTGTGTGTGTGTGTGTGTGTGTGTGTGTGTGTGTGTGTGTGTGCGAGTCTGAGTGGAGACTTGTAGACTATAGTTCTGGTAAGAAAAGTGTTGTAGGAAGTGGCTGGAATGTAGACTATAGTTCTGGTAAGAAAAGTGTTGTAGGAAGTGGCTCTATAGCTCAAGTGGTAGAGCGCTCGCCTTGAGCTGAAGAGCTGAAGGACAGTGCCCAGGCCCAGAGTGCAAGCCCCACGACCGGCAAAAAAAAAAAAAAAGTCTCACAGACTTTAAAAAAAAAAAAAGTGTTGTATTACTACCACTGGAACTGAAGGTAGAGTGCTAGCTATGAGTGGAAGAGATAAGCAAGAGTATGAGGGCTCTGAGTTCAAGACCCCATACCTGAAGAGAAAGGAAGGCAGGGAGGGAGGGAGAGGAGGAGGTAGGGAGAAGACAAGTGAGAAGGAAAGGGGAGGAAAAGGTAGGAGAGGAGAGGGAAGAGGGAAGGGTAAGAAAGGAGAAGGGCCTCAGGAGGAAGGGGAGAAAAGGGAAGGGGAGGCAAAAGGGGAAAAGAGAGGGAAAGAAGGAGAGGGAGAGGGGAGGAGAGAAGAAACAAAGGAAAAAAGATAAAGGAAGGAGGGAGGGAAGGGGGGAAGAGGCCTTATTATTGAGGTATAGGATAAGTCAACTAAAGAGACAAATGAGCATACAGACTAAGAACAAAGCAGAGTGAATTAAAAAATCACAATTATGTCATCAAGGGTCAGACAAAAGTGCCAAGCACTGGTGGCTCACGCCTATAATTTTAGTTACTCAGGAGGCTAAACCAGCCAGGGCAGTAAAGTCCAGGAGACTCTTATCTCTAGAAAACTGGAAGTGGTGCTATAAGAGCTCAGAACAATGCCCAGACCCTGAGTTATAATAAATAAGTAGACAGACAGACAGACAGATGGATAGGAAAGAGAATTTGAGGGAGAAACCAAATTTAAAAGAGCAATAGTAAGCAATGGTTATCACTGCTGGGATACCACGTGGAGAGATGTATCTTCACTCAGTGCTAACTCTATAACCCAGATCTTTTGTGTCACATAGGTTTGCTTTTTTTATTTTTCCTTGTCTCTCTAAACCTCCTATCTTTTCATATGCCACTCATCCTGCCCTTCCTAGTATAAGCCCTTCCTCCTCAAAAACTAGCTCCTTCTCCTGACACAGAAGCCAACTTAAAGGGATTTCTAATGGCCAAATCTGAAAAATTACAGCATCCAAGTAAACAATAATAACCATGTGTATAATCCAGTGAAGAAAACACCCATGAACACACACAGACACACACATGGAGATTTGGAAGTCACTCTTTAAAGTGACTTCCAAATGATAAATGTGAAGAGGGTAATGAAAATATGCACCACCATATGCAAATATCACAATAATAACACAAATAGGCTACATGGCAGGAGGCACAGATAGGAAGACTGGTTTAAGACTAGCCTGAGCAAAAGCTAGTGAGATCCTATCTCAAAAACTTAAGTGGACATGGTGGTTCATGCATATAAGCCTAGGCAGGAGGCAAAAGGAGGAGTATCATAGCAGGAGACTAGTCCTGAAGCACAAAGTATAAAACGTTATCTGAAAAACAAACTAAAGCAAAGAGGCATAAAGATAGGGCTCTAGTACTATAGCAACTGCCTAGCAAGCACAAGATCCTGAGTTCAAGCCCCAGTACCGTCAAAAACAACTTATGATTAGGAATCACTTTGGGAGATTGGTGATTAGGAGACAGTATAACCAACCAACAAAATATCTGAAATTTATAAGTTTATTCCCCTAAAATATATATTAAACAAAACAGGCAAAACAGTCATTCTGGATGGTGAAACTAAGCAGGCATCACCTTAATTAAGTGACTGAAGTTTATATAGCCAATAATAAGACATGTCAATATCATGCTCTTCTTGACATGACGTACTACGGAGAGTCCTTGGCTTCTGTGTTATTCCTGTCAATATATACAGCATGTGTTCCATCCCAAGGAAAGTGAGGGACATTTGTAAAATAACTGGTCAATATTTTTAAATCTGTAATGGTCATGGGAAATAAAGGAAGAGTCAAGAGTTGTTCTATATTCAAGATTACTGAAGAGAAATGAAAACTAAACTATGATATAATAATGGATTAAATCCTGAATTAGAAAAAGTCATTAGTAAGAGAAATGGTAAAGAGAGATTTGTAGGTTAATTAACAGTGTTAGCGCTGATTTATTTTTTATTTATTTTTAATTTTTTATTGTGAAAATACTGTACAGAGGGGTTACAATAACATGGGGAAGATAATGAGTACATTTCTTATCAAGCATTGTAGCCTCCTCCTTTGTTTCCCTTCCCATCCCTTCCCATACTCCCCCTGACCCCGATTTTTTTTTTTAGTTTCAATTGCAATTAAGTGAGATATTAACATTTGGGAAAATAGTGAGCAGTATATGGAAACCATGTATTATTTTTGTAACTTTTTTGTGAGTCTAAATTATTATGTGCTACTCCAACAAATAGAAATTCAAAAACAACATAAATCCTTCTCCAGTGGGCCTGAAATGAGCAAAAGTTGCATGTCTACTAAAGAAATGTTTAAAATACTGCATTGTCATCATTACCAGAGCAGCAGCAGCAAGTACACTATCATTAAAAATATTTCCCTGGGTTATCAGCTACAAGTTTTCCAAGCTTCCTTGAAATTAATGGAAATAAATATGGCCAAAAATAGGAAAAATGTTCAAACAGCAAACAGAATCAGAAAAGATGAACTATTGTCTCTTCCATCAAGTTCACCTTAATAATAAGAACTTGGAAAACAAATTAAATGATCATATTAAATGCAGCAACATGACCTTAACAGTATCTATGGCCCTATGTCTATACTGTGTGTATGTGTGTGTGTGTGTATACCAAGAATGTTAAATTATTAAGTCATATATGAAAAGTATGTGGGCTTTCAAAAGCTAATTAGAAAGCACTTAAAAGAGAGCTCAGATAAACAGTAAAATTCTCCAAATGTAATCTACAGAGGTTCCCACAAAGAATTTAATTTAAACAGAAGGAGCCAATACATAGGAAATACTCTTTTTACTACACAATACAAACAGAATCCAATCTAAAATTTTAATAGCCTTTTAGGCCAAATGTTAGGTGCCTCAGAACAGAAGAAATGAACTGTTTAACAATGCTACTGTCAATTTGCCAGCTGTTTTTTTTTTTTCTCTAGTGTTAGCTCTCTCATAAAAAAAAAATTCCTGAACTTTTGTACTTTGAGATCCAGATTTACAAAGTTTAAGAAAAACTGGAAGCTGGGTGCCGGTGGCTCACGCCTTTAATCCTAGCTACTCAGGAGGCTGAGATCTGAGGATCCTGGTTCAAAGTCAGCCCGGGCATGAAGTACGTGAAACACTTGTCTCCAATAAACACTCAGAAAACCGGAAGTGGTGCTGTAGCTCAAGTGGTAGAGCGCTTGCCTTGAGCTGAAGAGCTAAGGGACAGTGCTTGGGCCCAGAGTTAAAGCCGCACGACCGACAACTATAAGGGCATTATCATTAGACTAAACAAATTCAAATAAAAACTGACAGAGGAATAAAATGAGTAAAATATACATCACTCAGGATCATTAATATTCATATACAGAAAATTGAACTGAATATTTATTGAGCATTGCCACCTTTCAACAACAAATCTTACGTCTGTATGTTAATCAGTTCTCACAGATAAGTAAACTAAAGTGCACACAAAACATAATGGGCCTCCTGGATCAGTAATTCAAACCATGCTTAAATATTTAAAAAAACTTTTGGAAAATCTCCATGTGGGTCCATTTCAGAAAGTAACTCAGATTTAATACCTTTAAGAAATACATAAATTCTATCATTTAAGCTAATCTCTTCCAAACAAGTTAATGCAGTCATCTAGTCATTACATAAACTAAATTTCTTTTTATAGTACATTCCTTCTGAGCTCACTAACAGTTCATTCCCATACTATTTCTTCAGAAAGTTGAGTTAAAATGGCTATCCTAATATACAAAGTACCTATTAATTGATAAAAAATGACTCCTTGGCAATAAAACTAAATTAAAATCAAACTCCAGGTAAATGATATATGGCCTATATGTTTGTTCCTACCAGTCCAGGGTGCTGTCCCTGAGCTTCTTTGTGCTCAAGGCTAGCTCTCTATCACTTGAACCACAGCACCACTTCTAGATTTCCTGAGTAGTTTATTGGACATAAACTAGCCTGAGCTAGCTTTGAACTCGTCTCCTGAATAGCTACAATTACAGGCGTGAGCCACTGGCACTTTGCTCAAAATGTATTTTTACAAGCTTTTCAAACAATTGAACTTTGGGCATTCTAATTTGGTTTTATACAAAAGTCATTCTTATAAAAAATAACCACTTCTAAATATACCTCCACTTCTGGCTATATTTGGGATGAAAGGGGAAGTTTATATGCCCAGGCTGGCTTCAGCCTCCTAAGTTTAGCTAGGATTACAGGTGTGTGCCACAGTCTTTTCTTAGTGTTTTCCCATCTCTTCATAGCATCTCTCCATGCTGTCTTTCTCTACGTCCAAATTCACTCTTGTTAAAGCACACTGAGCATATTAGAATAAAGCCCATCCTAACGACCTTACTTGGACTTTATTGTCTTTGTAAAGACCTTATTTCAAAATTAAGTCGATTCCGGAAGTGGCACTGTGGCTCAAGTGGTTGAGCGCTAGCCTTGAGCTGAAGAGCTGAGGGACAGTGCTCAGGCCCAGAGTTCAGGCCCCACGACCTGACCAAAAAAAAAAAAAAAAATTGATAGGAAGTTGTTAAGATAATAAGGTTGGTGGGCAAATCCTCATTCCTGTGCTGGAATAGGACTAGGTAGGCTTCCTGGGTTGAAATTAAATAATACCAGATAAACCAGAGGAATAAACATTACAAATAAAAATATAGAAACTCCTTGACTTCATGAATGCAGTTATGCCTATTTAAGCCCATTTATAATATGCAAATACTATAAATTCAAAATGCATCCAGCATATGTAACATACTAAACACCATAGCTTAGCCAAGCACACACTTATAACAGTTACATTACAGTAGCCTGTGGCTGGACAAAGTCATGTAACACAGGCCTATGTTATAGCAAAGTGTTGAATACCTCATGTGATTAATTGAATGCTATCCTGGAGGTGAAAAGTTGATTGGATATATAGGAGGTATATATTTCCACTATTATAATGTATAGCAATCCTAAGTCAAATCATCATAAACCAGGGCCAAGTTCTTATACAGAAAATGCTATTGAACAGAAACATACTTAAACCACACCTACACACATAAAAGGGGAAAAAGTAAGGTAGTTATACAATACAGAATCCTAGATTACAAATGGTATCATTTATTTGAAGGTTCTCATTTTCATGATCTGTTCTGATTTCCATTTATTCTCTATGATGTTAATTTTATAACTTTCTAGAATAATCAAATGTTCAATTCAGTCTTGAGACATTAATCTCCTGGGGTTTACACAGTCTTTGTATTCAGTCAAAAGACTAAATACAAAAGTGTCCCTTCTCATAAAAGCTTACTTTAGAGTTGTTATTATTTAACAAAGAAGGGATCATCAGATAACCACACACTGCCCAATATGGAAGATATTAGCAGTCACACGTAGTGTTTAAACTTAATTTTTAAAATTTTTATTTATTTTTTATTGTGAAAATACTGTACAGAGGGGTTACAATTACATGGGCAAGATTATGAGTACAATTCTTATCAAGCATTGTAACCTCCTCCTTTGTTAAATTTAATTTTTTAATTAACTAAAAAAATTAAATTTAAAATTCAGTTCTAGTTACACTAACAATGTCTCAATCTTTCCATGTGATTAACAAACTGGATACAGAAAATATTTCTGAAGAAATATCCAGGCTGGGTATAGTGGCTCATGCCTGTAATCCTAACTACTTGGGAGGTAGAGATCTGGAGGATCAAAGCTTGATGCCAGCCTAGGCAACAGGTTCACACATTGTTTCTAATGAACCAATCTCAACCAATGAAAAGCTGGTCATGGTGGAGGATTCCCAGCTACACTGAAAGCTTAAGTAGGAAGCCAGCAGTTTAGGCATGCATAGACATAAATTCAATACCATATATTAAATATAATGAAAGCAAAAAGGTATAGAGACATGGCTCAAGTGGTAGAGTACCTGGTAACTAGGACAAGGACCTGAGTTCAAACTCCAGTACAGGAAAAAAAAAAGAATTATTAGAAGTTAATACTCATTTGGATCTTCTGTTCCTTTCATGCCTTTATTCCACTAATAGTCAATTAATCAGCAATCAAAATGGTTGAAGTATTTTTCCTATGATGAAAATAGGGTCAGGGTTACACTGACTATGTATATAATGTATAGTTTCTTGATCCTACACATGGTTCATAGCATTAGTAAACAAAAGTCTTCTTTTTCCAGGAGCTGAGGCACTTGGCTCTTCACTACCAGGCTGTTCCAGGGTAGAATCATGAATGATATCCTGCTTCTGAAGAGCTCAGAACTATGTTAAATCCTGGGGGCACTGTATTATATTATTGATGCTGTATTACATTTATTGATTCATATACAGTGAATTGACCTTCTATGCTAAATGAGTAAAATATCTTGGAGAAACTCTTTTGAACAATTAACTTAAAAAATATCAGGAATGTAAAATTGGTCTTGATCAGGGTGTAGATAATAGTGAGAGAGAGATGTAAGGGTAAACAGAGAGGGTGAAGGAGAGAAAATATGGTCGTAATATTTTATGTACACAAGTGAAAATAGAATACTCATGCTTATTAGAATTGGTGTGGGAAGTAGGATGGTAAGATGGAAAGTGATAGACTGAGCTTGATCAAGGTACATTGATGAATGGACCTATGAAAATAAAACTTCCTTGTACAACTAACTGATGCTAATTTTTTTTTAATGAGAAAATAATTGGTAGCAACACAATGCTGACAAGATGACAAAGAAAGCTCAGGGAAGGTTACTAATTGGAATAGACTAAAATTTCTCCTTAGCTGGCAAAACTGTATTTCTCTACTAATTTGAAACAGGTTTTTTTTTTTTTTTTGGTTTTTGAATGAGGAGTATGTAAATAATAAGAAAACTTACCTGCATGTAGAAAGAGGTGCAAACTGAACACCTTTCTCTTTGCATTCCCTTCTTATTCTTTCTTTTACATTTCTACAAAGATCTACAACTCTGGAAAAAATTAAAATAATACTGTTTTCAAATAAAAACAATACAAATTCTGTTAAGTACTAGTTTTCATGATACCCTGCAAGAGCAATATTTTCTTAACTAAATCTTTTATTCTTACAAAAATGAACAGGAGTCATTCAAATTGACCCTCGACCCTCTGATCATAATTTCAAAGAGAACAGAATTGTTCCCCTTTTTTTGCTTTGTTTTTTTGTTATAGGAAAAAAGGCATGTCAGAAGAACATATTCAAATCTCTTGTAGTTTCCTACATTAGGAGAGTTCAATTTCAAAATAAATGTAAATACAAGATTTTAAGAGCTTTAAAGAACATGTTAGTGAGGAACTGATACATCTTAATACAATAAAAATAAGGACATAACATGCAAATGTGGAACATGTTAATCAAAATTCAAATCTGGATTATAAGAATACCAATCTTTATCCATGCCTAAGAAGTTCACCTAAATTTAAAAATAATTCAATCAATAATAATGGTTTTATATTAAACATTCAAAAGCCTATTCTTAAATTAACATCTAATACGACATTTATTTTATACAAACTACATGTAAAATGTTAATGTACTATGAAATGCTGATACTAAATTTTGAAGCCAGGAGTACACCTGTAATCCTAGCCCTTGGGAAGATTTCAAGTTTAAGGCCAATGTGGGCTATACAATGAGTTCAAGGTCAACCTGGGCTACATAGTGAAACTTTGACTCAAAAAGAAATGATGGGAGACCAAGAAAGAGAGTCAGAAAGAAGAGGAAGAGAAAAACAATGAAAACAGAAGAATAGTTAATAATTCTTAAAGGTGATGTGGAGTTGATAATATTTAACAATATTTTTAAATTCATCTCATCTATTGGACACACTCTAACATATTGCTATAACTAATAGTTTACTGCATTTAAATGACAGTAAGATCTTAAATATACACACAATGATATCATTAGCTAAGTGCTATATTACAAAACAATGTTTACTTGTTTTATAACCTTGGGGAACTTTTTTTTTTTTTGTAGGTCGTGGGGCTTGAACTCTGGGCCTGGGCGCTGTCCCTCAGCTCTTCAGCTCAAGGCGAGCGCTCTACCACTTGAGCTACAG